GGTAATTAATGTTTAATTATGGACTAATTATATTCAAAACGTTCGTCTTGTAATTTCCCATCAAACTGTGCAATTAGTTTTTTTTCGTCTATATTTAATGCTCCATGTATGAGCCGCAAACATTCGATGTGATAGGTACTGTAGCACTTTTTAAAAATTTAAGGTGGAACTGAACACGCGGCAGGACAACACCGTGACAAGCAGACTGCGCAACAGAGCAGCGTATTAGTCTTTTGTATCCTCCTCTTTCAATCTTTTAATCCTCTGGTAAAGAACACACAGCTCTAACCTGTATTTGCTCATGAATAAGAAATATATATAAAGTTGATCCAATTTTCAGAGAGAGAGGGAGAGGGAGAGGGAGAGAGAGATGTGGATTACTATTTTCTAATAATGGATTAAGGCAAGAACAATGCGTTTCCTTTCCTAATTGTTCTAGAGAAGTGTGGTGAATTGGGCATGTGTATGATTGATTGATTGATAGAGTCATCAAAAGTTGCTGTCGTAGAACGTGAACCTAAGAGAAGGCGAAGAAGTCCATTTCAAAAGACCCAAGAACAAGCACATACGAGAGCATATCCCCTACCCCAAAGCTGGTGGGACCTCCAATAGTGGAACTGATGGCCCACCTGAATTTTTATCCTCCGAAAACAAAAGTTAAACTGTAACTTTCACTCGTCCAAATGAATTAGCCACAGCCACTCCTCCTACGCTCAAACCTTTTAAATCGAAACAACCACTAGTAGTAGTTTTTTTACCAGCAATAGTGCTAACACGAATAAAAGGATTATATATATATATAAACGGATGGAAAAAAACACGCTGAGAAGCCAAACAAGCCAAGCCTTGGAGGAAGGCCGGAACGAGGCGCCAGCGTGGCAGATACCTTCCCCTTCCCTCCGTCCAGACGAGCATATCCCACATGCTCCCGGGCCCCACCTCGACAGTGTATGCGACGCGATGGTTGCAGGCCGTCGGATGCGTCAGCGGACGGCGGATCGTGCCGTACGTCCGCGTGGAGAAATCCACGAGATGGTCGCGCTGTCTCTTGCTGTGTGGGGCCTGGGGGACCCACGAGGCCGAGACCGATAATTTACTCCGACCCACCTGGAGACTGGAGTTTGCACGGAGCTTTTGCAGCTGTATCCCTGTGCGTTTGGAGTATTAATTACAAGTCCCAAACATCTGGATTTCATTTCATGGCCTTGTTTAAAAACATTTTGCAATAACGGACATTTCATATGTAGATTGAGTTTTTGTCCGATCATGTTTAACTAGGTTCAAAAATCGTGATTTTGCTAAATCGATAATTAGTTATTTTTTTGCAACTATATTTGATCTGATAAAAGATTTTGTGATAGAGAGAGAGTGAAAAACTTGGAATTTTGAGACAATCTAAACAAGGCTCGATGTATTGAATGTTGGGTAATCTTTGCTAGAATCGAATTTGCGTCAACCCATGTGATGATAATTTTTGCAAATGCGCTTTCCTCGATGTTTTAATGTTGGGTCATGCTATCCTGCGTCTGCTTGCATGCTTTGTGCTGCGCGCTGCTGCTGCTGCTCCTGCTTCGCTGCAGGCGTCGCTGCTTGCCAGCGCTCGCGTCGTGCCTCCTCCTCATCGGGTCCTCCGCGTGTGCTCCAAGCACTGCTGCGGGAGAGCATGTGCGTGAGGCCCACCCAGCTGCATGCGAGAGAGGGTGGGAGTTCAGCGCGCTTACCCGTGTTGATCCTGGCTGCATGCTCCACTGTGGGGGCCAAGCCTGGTGGTGCAGTGGTGCCTAGTTCTACATCCGTTGGGTGATGGCTCGCTCTGAGGCTTTGCATGCGTGCAAGCACTTTGACCATGGAGTGCTCGACCATTTGGGCATTGATCGCCCGTTGCGTGCACGTCCGACTATTGGAGCTGGCCCGCATGACAGAGATAGGCAGCGCTAGATGGGTGCGTGCAGCGCGTGCGTGCCCGCGAGTCAGAGCGCGTGGGGAGCAACACCTGCTGCAACGTACTGAAACCATGTGAAACAATTGAAACATATGTGTATAAACACTACAATATATGCAACATCCAGATAAAACACTTACAACATATGTCTGAAATAGGTGAAACATTTGGAACATACACTTGCAACATACGTGTATAGCCACTGCACCATATGTAGCATCCAGATGAAACAGTTGAAACATTTGGAAAACACAATTGCAACATACATGTATAGCAAATGCAACATCTAGATGAAACACTTGCAATATACACTCGAAATATTTGAAACATACACTTGCAACATATGTGTACAACCATTGCAACATATGCAACACCAGATCAACTTTTATAACATCCAGATGAAACATATGCAACATATATCTGAAACACATGAAACGCACGGGTGTAACATGTGCTCATCGACTTACTGCCACCCAATGAAGGCTCATTGACGCGGACGTGGGGGAGCGCAGCGTGAGGCGCATGACGTGAGGGGTGCGCGGCATGAGGCGGGTCCGTCGTGAGGCGTAGGGGCGCGCAGCGCGAAGCGGGTCTGACGCGAGGCGCAGCGACACACGACACGAGGCAGTTCTGCCCCCGATGAAAGCGTCTAGATTTTTTAAATAATGAGCTGGTCAGACCAGGTCCACAGGCACAACGAAAGACGATCGTCTGACCGGACAGACGCTCCGTAGAGACCATTAGAGACCATTACCGTTTTAATGTTTTAGCTTTTAATTTGCCACGGTTTCTTTTGTTGTTGGTTGTTAAGCATGTTGTCCTAGATTTTCATCCCCTACTGAGAAACTCTCGATCACCTAAAGCGCCATGACACGCCGAACACACCATGCAACAACGTTTTGCTACCATTCCGTGTAGATTGTGTATGCTGTTTTTTACCATATTTGATGGCCCTATTCGTTTCGCTGAAATTTGACTGCTGCTGATGCTGATTTGTTGTGAGAGAAAAACACTGTTCCTTTATTGAAAAGTAGTGCGGAGAAACGGGACGTATAGTGTAAACAAGATGATCACCTGCACGAGTAGGGTGTACATGTCGTGTAATCATTCTACGGGGCCGTGTAGGCCAACACTAGTTAAAGCAATTAAGCAAGAGCTAGGCTCAAATTTAGATATATAGTATAAGCATTTGTACCGGACCTGAAATGGCTGCGGGATCCTCTTGTCTTGTTCAGTAATCAGTAATCCTATTGGTCTTGTCGCAAAAAAAAAAAAAATCCTATTGGTCAATGACTTTGGACAATGGTTAGGTCAGGTTGTCCTAAATGCTTTAAATATCGCGTATCCTATTTGGGCAATGGGCAGTGACTTTGGGCATGGTAATTGGATGACTTTTATAGAAAAACAGTTATTATAGTCGTAGGCCGATAGTTTTGTGCTTACTTGTGTCTTCGCCCAATCCCATGAATAAGTAGTTCTAGTGGTACGTGAGCTTCAAACCGTATATGGGTTAGGCTAAATTCTCAAGTCTAGTTCAAATTAAGTACCTTTATATGTTTTGTTAAAGTACACAACCAATGAAAGCATGTAATTTTTACAGTAGAAATGAAATATTAATTTTATTTTCGTAGAATGAAATTACATTTCTACTAAGCATGTAATCTTCCTCCTACATATTTAGAGGCCACCTTTGAAATAGGTATTAGGGTTGATATATTGGGATACTAGTGTAACAACTATGTCAATATATTTATAAAAATAGGCTACCTAGATACCTATTTATTGGACTATATATTGGATGATAGATTATTAGGAGACTGTTGTGATTCTTTGAATGGATTTTGTAGTGGTGAGCCAAACCATGTACCCTTACTAGTGGATGTGCCCATGTGTTGTAAGAACGGAATGCACAGCTTGTTCCACGACCCTATGAATGGTTTATGGCTCAGAGATTTATGTAACAGTTGTAATGGGACCATGTGTTCATGTACTGTCGCTCGATGCACAAACACGTGTGTTTCTAACTTACATGAATACGGGATGTGAGTCAGAGGTAGATACGGATCAAGACGAGCATGAGGACACTTCAAAAAGTAAAAAGGATAGGAGGAACCAATCACTTTTTATCTTTACTGCTAAAGCATATATATATATATATAGACATATAGATATTATATGAATAGATTTTGTAGAGGGATGTGAGTCGAGGGCTACGCGGCATATAGGGCTTGTTTGGGTAGATCTGCTCCACCAACTCCACCATAGAGCAGCTCCATTGTGGAGTTTACGGAGCAAGTGGATCTCCGAAACATGAGGACGATCGATGTTTGGAGCATGTGTAATTGAATTTTTTTACCAATTCAAAAGTAAATATTATAAGGATTAGAGAAAAGTAAAAACAAAATCACAAATTTCCATACTTTTGTATCGTAAATTTCAAAGCGCTTGATGGATAATTGACAAAGTTCATAAGCATATACAAATACATTATCCATAGATATAGATGATAATAAGATTTTTAGAAGATAACAAAGTCCATCATTCTAATAGAAATAGTTGTCCATAGATAACTAGAGAATAGTTGCAATGTAGAGATTTCTCCATGTCTTAACAAGCTTGGTCACCTTATCAACGAAAGTGCATCAAGCGATGTGTCGTAATCCGTGTTTGAAAAGATATGGACAACATGCAAACCATCATAATTTTAAGCAATTTGAAAATGTTCATCAGCTCTTTGACTTCCAAATTACCAGTGGCCTTTGATGAGAGACTTCGCCCTTCACAAACCCGTAGAATTCTTAAACCGACATGAAAAATGATGTTGCTCTTGTTCTCGAGGGCTACGCGGCGATATAAAAGTCCAATCCTTCAGAAGTCCCCTCCACCAAACACTTCCTTCAAGTGCTCAAAATCGTTCTTAAATCTTTTCCTCACATCCTTTCCTCCCTGCTTCAGATCCATCACGAACGTCCCGGTTGAGGCTTGGCTTCACCGACCGAAGCTCCAAATGAAGCAGTCCTCTTCGGCGAATCGCATTCGCTCCACTCCACACTCGACGATGACGAGTGGTGGCGGCGGCGGAGTCGTACGCCGGAACCTCCTGAGTCAGCGGTCTCGCAGTGACGCCGGAACCCGGGGGCGCGCGGGGAAGAAGATGGCGGCGCAGCGGACGCCGGCTTCCGCGGCGGCGGCGCGGGGCATGTCGTCGGACAACGCCAAGGGCCTGGTCCTCGCGGTGTCGTCGAAGGCGCCTTCATCGGGGCCAGCTTCATCGTCAAGAAGATGGGGTTTCAGGAGGGCCGCCGACTCCGGCGTCCGCGCGGGTGAGTGAGGGCTCTGTTCGCCGCGTCCGTCGGTGGATGCCCTTCTTCGTCTTCCTCTGGTGCCTGGATCTCCTCCTCCCAGGCCGGTGGGGCGTCGGCGCTGGGTTGGTCTCGGTGACGCCGGAACCGCGCGCGGGCGATGGCGGGTCGAGTTGTTGCGGCTGTGTGCCATGCCGTCGGACAACGCCAAGGGCCTGGCTCGCTCGTCGGGAATCATCGGGGGTTGAAGCTTTGAAATTGATTTCTTGTTTTATTTTTGAGGGGTCTGTTCGCCGCCCGTCGGTGCAACGCGGTGCCTTCCAGGTGGGCCGGTGGGTGTGTTGTTGGTTGGTTCGCACGACGGTTGGTGGGTCGAGGATCTGTGCCAGCCATGTGCTGTATAGACAAAAAAATTGATTTCTTGTTTTATTTGGTGGGCTGTTCTTCTCGATGGTATACGGGAAGTCCAGTCGAGTCCAAGAAATTACTTTCATGGTGGAAATTTGGGGATCCTGATCAGAGTTTTCTATCCTGAAGCCCTGAAACTTTTCTTTTCTTGATTTGGTTTGTCAGAGGAGCCATGTTGACTCCGGAGAAAAGGTTAATTTCTTTGGTCGTGGTAGATTTGGTCATGGCGGAAATTTACCACCATGAGAGCAAAGTTCGATTGTGTCAGCCAGCCCAATGAATTTAGTCAAAGATGCTTCCTGATTCTTCCTATTGTCATTGGGTGGATCGATTGATTCTCTTTTGCTTGGTGGAGAAAAAGGTTGCAATGATTTGACAGCCAGGCATGTCTTACCTTTGAAACTTGCGGTCTATGCTGATGCAAAAAAGTTTGCTTGCATAAGTAGTCCAATCGAGTCAAGGGCGTTTGCTTGTGCTCAACTTGCAAAGGAGGCTCAACTAGTCAATGACGAAAACGTTTTTTTGTCACTTTTGTTTTACATTTGCCATGGTTTTTATTAGAAACAAGCTGAGTGAATCTTTGTTTTTGTTAACAGTACTGCATTGCGTGACTGATGACGAGCCTGGCAAATATATCGATATTATTCATTTGTATTTCATAAATTATGCCCTTTTGCTTTCCTTTAGTTTAGTGCAAACTGCAAAGCTTAATTAGATGTTTTTATGTACATAAACCAGGATATGGCGGGTTTTCTTACTTAGTGGAGCCTCTTTGGTGGATAGGCATGATTTCTAGTAAGTCTTCTATCCATTCTTATTAAATCATATTATTGACCTTTTATATTACTAAATTCCTTAGGTTCCTTTGTCACTTACTCCCTCTGTCCAAAAGAGAATGCAATTCTCACTTCCCGACGAGTCAAACAATTTTAAGTTTGAGCAAATTTGTACAAAAAATTACTAACGTTTCCTATAAACTTAGTCAAAACTTAGAAACGTTTGACTTATTCAAAACCTAAAATTGCATTCTTTTTGGTACAGAAGGAGTATATGTATGCAATCCTTTTCCACATTGGGGTTATTGGTGTTTTCCTTCTAATCTAAAGCATATCATGTTCCATTTGAATATTTTCCCTATTATTATTCTTGCTTGGCCTACCAACACTAGTGAGCTTAGTTGGTTCTCACTTCTCACCCTGCTTTGCTAACACTGCCTATGTTGATATTCCTTATAGAAAAAAATGCAAAAAGAAAAAAGAAAAGAATTTGAGATACATATGGCCGATTTGTATTAGGGAGAGTAAGAATTCATACAAGAAAGCAGCTTTTGATTCATAGGTGCATGTAGATACAGATATTAGTAAGATAATTGATATTGGACCAATACTGGCTCATGAAAAATGTTAGTACAATTGAGATCCTATCATCTGAATGGTACACTTCATTGTTAACAATGCCTGTGGCTGTTTGATCTTCCAGGGAATTCTCTGCAAAATCTTTTCTGAACTTAATAGGATGTGGAAGGAATGAGATTATGTAGCGTACTAAGTTTGCTAATTGTTTTCTTTATGCACAAAACTGCTGCTACAATCTTTTCTAGGAGAACCTGTTACTGAAGCTTTCTGAATGAGAGAAACTGAAATATGTTCACTTACATGTCTTTTGTGCACAGTGATTGTAGGTGAAATTGCTAATTTTGCTGCTTATGCATTCGCTCCTGCTATTCTTGTCACTCCTCTTGGTGCACTCAGTATAATCATCAGGTACATGTTTATGTAGCATTGTGCTCTACCTAGCTAGTTATTAAATTGAATGGTATTTTTTTTCCAATTTCTGCAGCGCTGCACTTGCACATGCCATTCTACAGGAGAAACTGCACACATTTGGTATACTCGGTTGTGTTCTCTGTGTTGTCGGATCCATCACAATTGTGCTCCATGCTCCACAAGAGCGTGACATTGATTCTGTAAAGGAAGTTTGGGATCTTGCAACTGAACCAGGTATTTACTATTCTTTTTTTTGGAAACAGGTATTAGTATACTGAGTACTACCAAGACTGGTTAACATCATTACGACTTTGTTACAATTCCAATTAACTAGATTTATTAATTATTTATCGGTCCCTTGTATTTGCAGCTTTCCTTTGCTATGCGGCCATAGTAGTTGCAGCAGCCTTAGTGCTTATATATTTTGTTGTCCCTCACCATGGACAAACAAACATAATGGTGTACATTGGAGTGTGTTCTCTTCTGGGATCACTCACAGTACGTTTTTTCCCAAGTATACATGGATTAAGCATGATATTTTTTATGTTTGTCAACTGGAATTTCACAAAATACCATTTTTCTATCTGATAGTAAGAAGTTTTGCAGGTTATGAGTGTAAGAGCTCTTGGAATTGCCTTGAAGCTAACATTCTCTGGAACAAACCAATTATTCTATCCTCAGACTTGGGCCTTTGCACTAATTGTAGCTACCTGCGTGAGCACCCAGATTAACTATCTAAATAAGGTAATTGTTCTGTTTTGTGACTTATTTTTTTATTATAGACTACACTAACAAATCATATTTAGATATACAAAGTATCCAGTTTTTCTGAAACATGCAAGTTTGACCACCATGATAAGCATATGAGGCTCACCAAATTCACTGAAGATTATTACCATAGTTATTTCTGTCCTTTCTAGAATCATTATAAAAGTTGCATATCTGGGTGGCTTAGCAGCATTTTTAGTCATCAGAATGTCTTTCTTGTATGCATCTAACCGAATGGAATTTAACCTTGTAAGCTTCCATGTTACTTTATTCCAGACCACATTCTGTGAGGCACAATAGATACTAGACCTATTAGCATTTGAAGTGATTCATTAATAAAGGATCAAGTTTTGATACAAAATATTAATCTGGACTTTTGGATTAGCAAGGGTTCTTTAAGCAGCTTGTCTAATTCATTACTTGTTGCATTATCTGCCTTCTGAAGGATACATATTTGGTTTTGATAAGGGAAGGGGGAATGTTATTACTTATGCTGTTATGCAAACAAAAGGAAGCGTACACAGCTTATTTTATAATCTGTGCTATGTTTTTGAACTGTAGCTTGCAGTTCTTACTGTATCAAGCTGGTCTTCTAATATTTTAAAATATGGTTAAGAATTACATGCAAGCTAAGTTAATGTGCTTTCCTCTTTAAATTGCAGGCATTGGATACATTTAATACAGCAGTAGTCTCACCGATATATTACGTGATGTTTACATCACTAACAATTATAGCCAGTGTGATAATGTTCAAGGTAACCCATTTTATTACTTTCATGAGAAACATTTATCATTTATTGTTGTTAAGTGAATGTTTTTGTTGAAAAAAGTTAAGAAATTCACTTGCTTGCTGTTTGATTCTATTCTTGCCTTGATCTAACTATATATTGTCCTATAAGTGGGGGTGGTTTACTAGAAACTAGTAGATCTCTCAATGATAGGCATTTCACTTTCAGTATATTAACTAACAGAAGTTCACACATTAGTGGCTTGCCAAATACAGGCTCCAGGATCCTTTGTAACTGGATCATAAGCCATACTAACTAACAGAAGTTATATATACTTGTTGAAGTTGTGCTAGTTCTATCTATATATTGACATAATTCTCTTTTTCTCTCTCTATATGTATATATGCATGGTGATCACTTCTTTTATGTGAATTACCTACTGCATCAAATGTATATCTTCTCAGTTTATCAGCACTTTGTTTCTTGATATGCAGGATTGGGACCATCAAAATCCAACGCAAATTGTAACAGAGATGTGTGGCTTCATGACTATCCTATCTGGGACGTTTCTTCTTCACAAGACAAAAGATATGACTGATAGTATGTCACGATTCATGAATTTTTACACACCCCTTGAGAATGCTTGGTTTTGTCTTCTGAAATTTTCTTTTCGAACAGGTCCTGGACAATGTTTGTCCACACGACGGCCAAAGCATGCTAGTCAGAATGCGTTTGCAATTGAAGTCATGCCACTAAAATGTCAAGATTCTATAGATGATGAGACCTTGACGTTGTCACTTCCCAAGGTTGAAAATGGTTACCTAAAGGAAGAGCATCTTCTTAGATACAAGGACTCAAGTATTGTCTGATAGATATTTCTTCGCCAACATTTGGCACGAAGCTGTTGAGAATCATTTTGCTCTCAGGCATGATTGATTGATGTAGAACTGGAGTTGGCAGTTTTACGTCAACCTGGCCTTGGATAGATTGATACTATGGATTATAAGTTGTCAACTGTGGTTTGCCTGTATCTTGATGATGATTTGAGCAAAGGAGAAAGCCAGAAGGATGCCACATTCAGGCCAATTAAGTGCTAGTCATCCAGGAATACTGGTTCCGGAAAAGCATTCGAAGTGTACTTAGATACAGTGATGTCACCAACTATACTATTTTTTCCCCTCATTTTAGGACGTCATGCGGTAGCTGCAATGTGCTCTTATCTGATTTCTACTAGGACGATGCCATATAGAAACGTCAGGCTTCAGTTTTACCTGTAATTACCTCAAATTGCTCTGCCCAGTTGTCATTGTGTATACTTAGGCTGTGTAAGTATATCATATTCAGACTTTGATAAGGGACCCCTTTGGATAAACTGTTGATCATTCTAATTCATATGTCTCACATTGTTAATATTTTTCTGAGTATGTGCCTCATTGATAACCATTGTTTTTCATTCTCAATAGTGTTTACTGTATAAAAATGCATTTTTGGGACCATAAGTGTCATTAAAGCAGGAAGGTTTGCTTGTATAGTTATTACAAGTATACAGCCAATGCTTTAAATTTGTATTAGTTGCCATACTTTGTAAGTTTGCAGGATACCTGGATGGAGAAAGAACTGGAAGTGATTTTTTAAGGGAGGACCAAAGAGTTTCTCCTCAAACATATTCTTCTACTTAGTCATCAATTTGAGGTAAAGAAAACATTCTTGTATGAACTGTTTTTGCCTTTTTTATTTGTTGCTCCGTGTTGCTACTATTTGCTACAGCCTTTTTATGATCACTCCTTTGTAGGTTCTACTGTTCTTGCTTAGAAAATCTGCGTGAACTTTTTTAAAAAAAAGTTAAGTGCAACAGTTTCTTGTGAAAAAATTACCTCAACTTGGATTGTGGATAATGTATTGTGGTGTATATGATTAGAAAAAGAAAAAATCCATTTTTGGCCCTCCAACTATGGCTGCAGTTTGTTTTTAGCCCTCTAACTCGAAAACCAGACACGCGCAGTCTCTTAACTCTCAAAACAGTTAAAATTAGCCCTCGCGTCCATTCCATCTGGTTTCGGCCCAGTCAACCCGTTACTCTTCGAGCTCTCCCTCCGTTCCCAATCCAAGAAACTTGCGCGCTACTCCACTAATGCAGTCATATCAGCGAGTGACAAGCCATGTAGCCGTTGCAACGCCACGAATACGGAGCCATGGACGACGCAGCCGAGGCTGAGGTCGAAATCGACACCATCGGTGACCGCGTCGACGGGCTCCTGTCCATCGCCTCGCCGTCGTGCCGGCCGAGCCCCTCCTCGCGGCGTTCCGCGACGTCATCCAAGAACACCGCCGCACCGGGACGGCGACCAGCGGCAGGCGAGCCGCAGCCATCTCGGCGATGGTCGAAGACGTCGCCGCCACCGCCGCCGAGGGTAGGCCCAGCCGCCCAGGGCCTGCAGGCGGAAGCGGCGCATGGCCAACGCCCGCGGGTACAAGCAGGAGGGGCGCAGGGTCGGCGTCGTAGTCAGGGCACGCCACCGCGCCACGGGCCAGGCCGTCGCCGTCAAGTCCCTCCGCCGCAGGAGCGGCGGGAGCTGCGCCGCCGACGTCCTGTCCGAGGCCTGCTTCACGGCAGCCGGCGGGGGCCACCCGTCGCTCGTCGCGTTCCGCACCGTCGCGCGCGCGCCGGGCACCACCGACTACTCCATCGTCATGGACTACGTCGGGCCGAGCCTCAGGGCCGTCATGGCAGACCGCGGCGGACGGCCGTTCCCGGAGGCCGTGGCGCGCCGCGTCATGCGGCAGCTGCTGGCCGGCGCCGAGGCGATGCACCGGCACGGCGTCGTCCACGGAGACATCAAGCCCGCCAACATCCTCGTGGGTGACGGCGGCGGCGCCGTCAAGATCTGCAACTTACGGGGTGGCCAAGTCTGTGGCCGAGAAGGACCCGCCGCAGGCCTTCGCTAGAACCATGGCGTACATGGCGCCGGAGGTGCTGGTGAAGAACGCCGACCACGACACGCTCGCGGACGTGTGGTCGCTCGGCTGCGTCATGGTGGAGATCCTCACCGGTGCAGGTGTGGCGAGCGCGGCAGCTGCGAGACCGTCACGGCAGCAGCCGCAACCGGCTGCGTGAGCTGGTCTCGGAGGAGATCCTGTCGGGGATGGATTCCAGGTCCTAAAAGGGCTCTTGACTTGTGATCCCGAGAAGCGGCTGACGGCAGCCGCCGCGCTCCAGTGCCCGTGGTTCACAGACAATGTTGACGACGCTGTTGCTTCGGAGAGGACGACCGCGGTTACAACGAGGCCCCTCTGCTTGCACCTGCCACTGAGCTGCTGAGACAGCTTCTCTGCCTCGTTGGGCCTCAGCACCCAGACGAAAGGCTTGCCGGAGTCGCACAGTCCGTTGCCTAGCTCCTCTAGCTGCGCCGCGTCGAGGTTGGCGACGGTCCCGTACGACGCGAGGACGACGGAGCAGGGCTCCTGCTTGTCCAGCCACGCCATGCACGGCGCCTGATCAGTGCCCGAGAAGAGGTCGACGCCGTACGTCTTGTTGCATGGCAGCCGGCCGTCGTCGAGGTAGAACGACGGCAGTGTCGGCCCGATGGTCTTCGCGCGCCACGTCGACTCCAGGTAATCCGCCTCCTGCTCAACCAGCCGATGTTAAACACAATAGTGCATCTAAACCATACCAGGGGTAGGTTTTTCTCTTAGATGTGAAAACTGTTGATGTACCTTGATCTAGGTCACCATTCGGTCTATAGTGCCACAGCGGCTTGGACGACGGTGACACGATAGCTCGGTGCAGTGGTTCCAGTGTAGTGAGTCGAGGTCCAGTGGCGACGGCGGAGTTGGTGGGGCTTTCCATTGCTGGCAGCACTACTGTAGATCGGATTAGGTTTTCTGTTGGTAGATCACGGCGGCTCAGACCAACCTCGTAGTTAGAGCCGTGATCCTCACCTCTTTTTTATATGTGCTGTGCGACAGGGGCCTACCAACCATATTATGGTTGGGCGCCCCGATCAGGGTACAGAGACATCAACTAACATTCTCTCCCTTGATCTCACTATCATCTTTCAATTTTATATCATTTACTTTTGTTCATTCCATTACAGACTAGCATATAGAGCATGTTTCATCGTCACGGTCAATTACCGATAGATTTAATAGCTACAACACACCACTCTATTCTGAAATAGATACTTAACTTTGGGTCTTCTTTTGTCCAGGAATTTTAGGCTTTCCTTAAACCCATGCTAGCTACATGTTCTCTGAACACGTTGGGTGACAAGCCTTTTGCAAGCGGATCCGCGAGCATCTTTTCTGTACTTATATGCTCAAGACTTATGACATGATCCCGGACTTTATCTTTCACAACATAATACTTTATGTCAATGTGTTTGACAGCACCACTTGACTTATTGTTGTGAGCACATTGTACTGCCGAATTATCATCGCAGTATTACTTAAGTGGTCTATAGATGTCGTTAACCACCTTCAAACCGGGTATGAACTTCTTTAGCCAGTTCACCTGTCCCGTTGCCTCATAACACGCTATAAATCGTCATACATTGTGGACGATGTAGTGACGGTTTGCTTTGAGCTTTTCTATGAAATAGCTCCCCTTGCGAGAGTGAATACATATCTAGACGTGGATTTTCTATCATCTCCCACATAATCAGAATATGAATATCCCACTATATGGAGTGAATCAGATTTTCTATACGTCATCATGAGGCCTTTCGTTCCTTGCAAATAACGCAAGACTTTTTTTTTCTAATTTCCAGTGTTCTGTTCCAGGATTGCTCTGGAATCTGCCAAGTAACCACGTAACAAATGCCAAGTCAGAGCGCGTACATACTTGAGCATATTGCAAGCTTCCGACAACTGAAGCACATGGAACCGTTTTCATTTGATCGATCTTATATTGGTTCCTAGGGCATTGAAAATCCCCATATCTGTCGTCCTTGACTATAGGAGCATGTGAGGGACTATATTTGTGCATACTGAATTTCTTTAAGATCTTTTCTATGTATGCCTTTTATGACAGTCCTAATACCCGTTTACTTCTATCTTGGTAAATCTCGATCCCTGGAACGAACGAAGCTTCACCAAGATCTTTCATATCAAATTTTGAGAACAAAAACTTCTTTGTCTCCAGCAGTAGACTGACATCACTACTAGCAAGTAAGATATCATCCACATATAGGACTGGGAAGATAAACTTCCCATTCTTAAACTTTGCATAGACACAATTGTCCTCAACATTTTCTTTAAAACCCAAAATTCCTTATTGACTGATCAAACTTTAAGTACCACTGTCTTCAAGCTTGTTTTAATCCATAAATGGATTTCTTTAGGCGACATCCCATTCGTTCTTTTCCTTCCATGACAAAACCCTTTGGTTGTGCCATGTAAACATTTTTCTCCAAATCCCCGTTGAGAAATGCCGTCTTTACATCCATCTGATGTAATTCTAAATCGTAATGTGCCACTAATGCCATTATGATTCTGAAAGAATCCTAACATGAGACTAGAGAAAAGGTCTCATTGTAATCAATCCCTTCTCTTTGCGTAAAGCCTTTTGCCACAAGTTACACTTATATCTCTCTATATTTCCTTGGGAGTCAAGTTTTATTTTGTAGACCCATTTACAGCCTACTGTTTTGGCTCCTTTAGGAATTATCTTCAAGTCCCAAACTTTATTGGCATTCATAAATTTTATTTCATCTTCTATGGCCTCAAGCCACTTTGATGAATGATCACTTTTCATGGCTTATTCAAATAAGGTGGGATCATCCTCCATTTGAAATTCCTCAGTGTTGTATACTTCATTGTCAGAAGAAATAGCTGATTTTCTAACTCTTTGAGATCGTTTAGGGACCTCCAT